TTTGGCCCAGCAGCTCCAAGGGATTACCACCATTGATTTCAGACAACTTAGCCACTTGCTTTAAACTAAGGAATCTGAACTTCTGTTAACAGGGAAATGTGTTAACATTGCAGTTTGTAGAGTCAAAACAATTACAGAGAGACAGAAAACTGGGAGCAAACAGCCTAACCATGTTCAGTGGCAGTATCAGCCCAGAGCTGCTGGTGAAGGCAAACCAAATGGGTTCCATTGAAAGGTGGACACTGCAGGGGGTGGGGGTGGGGGACGGGTGCCCACACCTGCGATATAACCTCACATCTGCACAACTCCCTGCAGTTCACAGAATTCTTCCCCATAGACTTTTAGGTCACCCTCTTCAGAACTCTGTGGGGTATTCCCACTGGGGGGATAAGAAACTAAGGGTTATAGTGTTCAAGGGACATGTTTGTGAAGCCAGTGCTTGTCCTATCACAGTACAGCTTCCTCACCTTGATGACAATTTTTAAAAATAATACATTTTGGATGGTTTCTTCAAAATACAGTTATTTCTAGAGCCCCTATTCAAATTAAGCTTTCTAAATCTGTCCATTCACAAATCATTCTTTTTCCTTGTTTGAATATTCATACCTATCCCTCACCCTGACATCTGCCTGGGGGTGTGTTCAAAAGAGGTCAATTCTTTCCCCGCCCCCAAGAAAAGTGAAATCATGAAATAAACCAATTCCAATGCTGGAAATTGTGTCAGAACAAATCTGTGTTGTGGATTTATAAATGTAGTTTAAATCAGAACACCTGGCAATGAACTGAATGCTTCTGTCATTTAATTCAACCTTATCTGTTTCAGTCATAAGATACAACCTGTAGATTGCATCCAGATACCTGTTAGTAATTATTTAGCTCAGATTCTTGAGAGATAAGAGTTGCTAGAAATCAAGCATCTGAACAGTTTTACAGTGTTCCTCAGGTCATCCTCACCAAAAGATCCTGTTTGAAATGGAGTCTATAGTTTGAATAGATCTTAATGAAGGATTATAATGGGAAATAATGGGGCTTTGGAGTCAGACAAATCTGCATTCAAATCTTAATTCTGTATTTACCAGCCTTGTGACCTTGGGCAGATTAATAAACCTCTCTGCGCCTTAGTTTTTATCATCTGTTAAGTAAAATTAACCATATTTACCTTCAGTGGTTAATGTGAGGATTAAATGGGATAATTTATATGCATGTAGTAAATACTCAAAATGGTAGTCTTATTCATATGAGAATTGAGCAATGATCTGGATAGAATGAAAAAATTTATTAGGGTTTGGAGCATCTATAAATTTGTTTCGTTACTATATTTCTCAATTATAAGTTGTAGTCGTCCTCCTCAATCATGCAGGTAGGTCCTCAAAAAGCTCAGTAGTACAATTATTTGGTGTAAAGGAACTTAAGACCCTTATGAAAAATTGTGTTCGAGGATAGAGGTAAGAAATAAGCCCGTGAAGTACCTTATATGTGTTTTATACTCTCTGAAGTAAAATCACTGATTCCTTACACTAAATTAAAATAATACTGTGGTATATTACACATATTAAATTAGTAATATTAATTTTGTTTCTCATTAAAAATGCTCAGAATGTCTATCATAAAGCATCTGTAAGACATTTTTGTTTACAAGATGTCAACTTTTATACACTGATAAAATGTTTACAAACAGACTTTGCCCCCATCTTTGTTCTTCCCTCAAGGGTGTTCCATTCTCTCTGAATTGTTACGTGTTGGTTTTTGTTTTTCTCTTCTCACATTGCCCACTCCACACATACCCACCTCTGTTGTTTGTTTCATAGGCCCATGTCCCCTCGCCCAGGTCTCACCATGCTCCTTGGGGCAGACACAGAATAATGTGAGTGCTAGAATGCTTAAGAAACTAATCAACCAACCAACCAACCTTTTGTATAACCCCCTCAGCTATGTTGAACATCTGTTCTTGAGTCCTGTTAGGACTCCTATTAGGTAGGAGTATCGGAGTCATGATAACTTTATGCTGATGTTTCTTCTACAAAGGCCTCCTTCCCCTGCCCAGGGTTCTAAAGCCCATTCACAGTCAAACTGCCATTTTCCATTTCCAAGATTTCATGGCAGCAACTTGCATTCATGTTCCACCATCTACCTAACCTTCTCTTTCCATTATAAATATCCACCTCTTTTTCCAGTTAGCTTCAACAAGAATGACTTGTGAGCGAGCACCTGGGTGGCTCAGTCGTTAAACGTCTGCGTTCGGCTCAGGTCATGGTCCCAGGGTCCTGGGATCGAGCCCCACATCAGGCTCCCTGCTCCGCGGGAAGCCTGCTTCTCCCTCTCCCACTCCCCTGCTCATGTTCCCTCTTGCTGTGTCTCTCTCTGTCAAATAAATAAAATCTTAAAAAAAAGAAATGACTTGTGAGCTATAAATACCACATCTAAACTTCTCTGGTTGTTCAGATTATAATTCAGTTCTAATCCAGTCTAAATGCTAGTAAGCAAAATATTTATGACCTTGATTCTCTTATCTATATCAGTTCCCATTAATCACAAGCCTATGCACATAAATATGTTTAAAAATTCGGGTAAATGAGAAAAGTGCCAGTTTGCCTGTTGCAAAACTAATGGACTTGCTCTCCCCTCTTAATGGCAGGACTAGCTAATATAGGTTAGAGTTGAATTCTGAGGGGCAAAGCTGGAGGACATCAGATCAGATAGAGTAGTGAGCCATCACAGTCTGAGCAGGAAGAAACCGATAAAAGCATAATACCCAGATTGTGGCTGCATAGCCAAGAGTTTTAATTTAAAATAGGGATCAGTTTCAGAGTGAGGACAGATAGAGGATAAGCAATAACGGGGTGCTAAGGTCTTAGGTGAAAGTCAGAGAATTCAGTTGGCACCATGAGTCATCAGTTACAGGGACAGCTAGGAGTGATTTATTAGCATTACCTTTCCCGAGTTTCGTATTGGGTTGTGTTGGTCATCCACAGGGTAGGCACATAATGTACCAGAATTGCTTATGGGGCCCAGTTGTGAGCTATGACAGCGGTATTGACTCCCCGTCTCAACTCTGAGTGTCTGTGTTGCACAACTTCTTTGACATGGCCTGTCAGCCAGTAGTGCTGGTGGGAATTACTTGTTGTGAAACCTGATGCTATCAATGTAAAAGGAGATTTTGTGCCTGGCTGACTCTCCGGGCAAATGGAGAACAAATAATTCTTAGCACTTCTAATAGGATTCACAGGTGATCTTAGCTGTGCTAAAAGATAAGTGAGCATGGTAAATGGCCAGCATGGGGAGAGTACGAGATAACTAAGTATGGTTATGTAATATAAACGGGCATGTGGTGATGAGATTTATGTCTAGGCATATATTATCAGGCATAAATTCATAGTGTTTATTTAATTTTCCATTTAAACTACTAATGAAGTACTCTATAATGTAGGATACCAAAATTGTGTCAAATTAGTACAAATTCGGCACTGCATGAAAGAAAATACTGTAATTACTGAACAGTAGAAATATAATTGTTTATAGACCTTAAGCATCATTGCAATTAAGGCGTCACATTTGTTATGCTTTCTTTAGAATCTGTGGTTAGTGATTTTTTTAATCCTTTTTTTAACTCTTCATTTTCCAGGTTTACTATGCATTTTTTATTTGTAATGTCGTTGATAGTCCAAAAGGTTTGGTATTCAAAAAGCTCTGTAGAGTCATAGTCTATTGGTATATGACTCATGATTCAAGACTAAACATTAAGTACATGTGATTTTGACTTTTACTATTTTATTTTATTTTATTATTTTATATTTTATATTTTTTTATTTATTTTATTTTATTTTTAAATTTTATTTGCTAATCCTTAACTGCTGTAAGTGCAGATGTGATGTGCTATCTAAAAGAGGTAGCAAAAGAAGGAAGGAGACCCATAGGTAGATAAATATGTCAACATTGATATACATAACTGTTGGAAACCTTCAAAGACTTGGATCTTGTTTAAATGCCATTAAATGCCATTAAAATTCTATTGCTGGAAAAAATGCCATTACTGGAAAATATTCTATTTGTTATCAAAACTTCGGGAAAACTTTAAAGATCTATTTTCATATCAGCTGATAGCCAACTTCTCTAGTCAATCCCTAGAAACACATAAGCATAATGCTCTAGGGTTTTTTTTTCCATCTTCTTTTAATTAGATTACATCATTGAACCACTTTTTCCTTAACACCCACCTAAAAATTCTTAATATTTTCATAAGGACTGCATACTGATCATGAATACCCACTTTCTAAATCAACTTCCTTCTTCATTCTACAAGACAATGACTTTCAGAATAAAATATATAGAGAGTCCTAGGTGCTATTATTTACTTGTCCTAGAGTCAAAAGTTGAATGTTTTATACTATGCAAATTTGGTAATGGCCAATGTTACCACATATAAGCAATAACATGGTAAATTTCTTTGGACAGTATGGTCAGTGGGTTACTAAGGTAAGCTTGATCTCTGCATTTTTAGTGTCAGAGATATTTATGATTCTAAGTAGCACCAGGCATGGCTATTAAAGGTAAAAGAAACAGCAGGGGCATGGTTCCAATTGCTTAGTAAACAATTGTAGGAAGATGTTTATTAAAGCTGGCTCTCAAGTGACAGATAAATGCATAGTTCTATTATGCATGCTAAATTCAGCATGCTGCAAAGCTTAAAAGCAGATAGATCAAAACAAGAGAGATTTTAAAAATCATAAAGACAAAATACAGCTATGTCAGTATATGACAGGAAAATAATTTGGTCTTAAAAGTGATCTCCCCTAACCCCCTCAAGAACATGTAACCACAATTTATGGAACAAAATTAAAAGCACGTTGGGTGTATTCCATTTTTTAACTCATCTGGCACCAAGTTAAAAAAATTAAATGGGCTGTTGTTAAACTAAGATACAAGTGAATCCCTTTATTACAAACAAAAAACTACATCACATAATTATTGATATATAATTTATATTTATTAATGCATGATGTTTAATTCTTTAAAAAAATGCACACACAAAACAAGCTACTTGAATAGATTCTTTCATGCACATCTTTTTCTACCTCACAAGGTTCTGCTGCATGATTTTTAGAGGAGTTCCCTTATTCAGGGTTGGCATATGTTTTTCAATTTTCATTGTCCAGAGCCATATTTACAGAAAGATGTACAAATATTGCAGATAGTACAACTCTCACATGATTAAAACTTCAGTCCCTTGGGTTTTCTAGCGCTTTGTGTAAATGCCAATAAATTTGAGAGTTCACCCAACTGTGCCTCTTAACCTTTGTTCCCATAGGTGAAGGGCAGGATATTTAATCAAGTAGCAATTTATCTTTAATTAGGAAAACATAATTAGGTATTATCATCTAATTGCAATTACTGGTTGGAGAAAGCCACATTTCACAGGTAGTGACCCATGCTGGATTATCGTTCTCCTCATACTGAATTTCGAATCTGTATTTGTATTTGGCAGATAGCCAAAACAAATTCAAAGGTTATCAGCAGGCCTCTGTGTAATCCTGCTGTCAAAGTCACCAACTCCACTGCTGAATAGGAAACAAGAGATACTTCCTAAGCCACATCACAACTATATCTTTTTCCTGCTAAGACATCAAATGTAGATCAAAATAATTGTATACAAAAAAAAAAACCATGTGAAGTAGGTTTGAGGACTGTTACACACTTCAGTTCTGGTACAGTTAAAAACAGTTTAATGTCTCAAGGCACCACTATGGTTGAACATCAGATACACGGGTAATCAGCTAATCGTCTACTATGCTGTAAAGTCAGTAAATAGCTTGTGCAATTGTGAAAAGCAATCTCTAGAGGACGTTAGATATACAGTAGGCACGTGTATTATAATACAAATAGAAAACAATGAGTCCTAGAAAAAGCATGTTGAGCACCGTTGTAGCATTGTTCGTGTTTCTTTACCTAACACTACGTAAACCTTACATTTACAAAAGGAAAGACTAACTTTTTTAAAGTTACACTCAAATTTGCTTTTTTGTGCTATCTCCAAGTAAGGGAATCTAGTTCGTAGGCGTACTTTTAGAAGTCGTTGGGTCTGGATCAGCTTCTGTCGCACTGGTAGATTCATTCAAGTGCGAGCTCAAGTTTTCCGATGTGAGGTGGGAAGACTTGTAGACAATCTCGTTGAAGTCGGATCTGATGCAGACCAAGGGAGGGTCGCTCAGTGGGTCTTCCACTGAGGCCTGCGTGTTTTCTCGAGTGATTCCCATGTCCTTGCTGTGTTCTGACGGTGATTTTCTTTTCATGCGAGTGTAAGTTTTGTCTTGATTCTCCATGCCTTGCTCATTTTTCAGAAACCGTCCAAAGAACCAAATGAAGAATCCAAACCACACAAAAGCTATTAAACTTGGAACAAAAGCCAGACACTTGACATCAAGGCTAGCCCCTATGAACCTGCTGTGTAAGAACATATCTCCCTCAACATAGGTTTTGTTAGTCTGAGGGTTAGTGTGATTGGACCTCCATTCCCAGGAAAGTTTGGTTCTGTTCAAATCCTTTAAACTTTCTGAGTCTTTCACTGTGTATATCTTCTGCCCTGGGCCAATGTACTGTCCGTATTCGTGAGGCTTATAAAATATTTGGTTCTTCCACATATTAAGATCCAAAATTAAGACGAGAAAGATAATTCCGTAGTTAAACCATTTACCTGCATAAAAAAAAAAAAAAGGAAATACTGCATATTAGTCAAAGACCTAGGAAATTGCAATAGGGCTTTCTCCAATAAAATGGAGATAATGGCATACAAGTATAAAGTGTTAATGTTTTAGGCCTGTTAGCAATTTTTTGAGATAGCTATGCTGCCATTAAGTGAATTGACAAAGGATATTTCCTAATTGTATTCTAGACACGTGAAAATGTGACTGTGGGTCCCAGAGTCAATAATTTATGCTCCTTACACTAACCAGATTAAGCCTCCTTGTTTTTGGGCTCCGCAGCTATACTCAAATTTGGTTCCATGTAAGTTATTCTCTAGAACACTTCACTTAATGTTTAAAAACAAAGTTCTAATGAAATCCTTAGAAAAGTCTAACATATGATTGAACATCTCTTACAGTTTTATAATTATGTGTAGGCAAGAAATAAATCATTTTGCAATGCAAACACAGCAGTATATCAATTGAATTCACATTGTTGTTTGTAGGTGACCTGTTGATTAAACCATTCAGATCAATAATTTGAGCATTCAAGACTTTAAAAATAATTGCATCAAATTCTCATTGAACAGTATCCATTTATCAGATGTATAAATACAACCAAAGCTGACAAACTGCTTTAGAAGACATGATTTGAAGAGTGAATATACAATTTCTTTGTAGTAGTTAAAATTTTCATACAAGTAAGACATTGCTTAGAGACATGTTATCTAATATAAACGCTGAAGATGTTGGGGAAAATGGAATAAAAACTGAGGGCTGTAGAATTATCTGCAGAAAGGATTTTGGAGGAAGTAGCAATTCGTGTGGTCCTTCGAAGAAAAGGACAGAGAATAGTCTGGAAAATGGTGCCTTTCTTTTAGTGTACGTTTTTATTATGCCGCAGATAAAAGAGCATACAGGAAAAGATGAGGTGATACGGAAGAGAAGGGTGGGGAGAAAAAAGAAAATAGTGGAGAATATTGTAGGAAGAGAATGCAGGAGAGGAACGAGAGACAAGTGAATTGAAAAAGTTCTGAGGTTCTCCTCCAATATTAAGGAGGCAATAGCTGGTAGCTTCCACGATGGAAAGCAAGCTGAGAGAGTAGCCTCCGGTGCTTCTCTGTTGCAGCAGATACATACTTACTCTCTTGCTATAAACTACATGTGCTATGAAGCCAGACCCGATAGTGAGGAAGACGGGTCCTTGAATTTTCATGACTGACCATCACCTTCTTGACTCACAAAGGTCCCTTGGAGAAACCTGTACTCTCTCTAGGTCATTTTTATTAACTCACGAATAGAGCAGTCCTCATAAAGTGGTCCCTGTATCTAGGGTAACAGGATATCAGAAACCACTGCTAAGCAGCATCACAGAATCAGGGAGAAGAAAGGAACACTCAGGGAGCTTGGAGTAAGATGCTCTTCTGGTGGGAACAGATGCTCAGAGAATGTCAATAGACAAGGGAAAAAGATAAAATCAGTATAAAAATTGAAGTGAATATACACTGATCAAATTAAAAAGAAACCCTGAGGATAGGAGGAGCTCTTCCCCAAACTTCCTACATTATTTTCCTCCCATCTAAGTTGAATGGTGCTGGGTGAGTTTGACCACTACACTTTGACATTAAAGAATCACTTTATGTTATTTCTCATGTGACCTGGAGTCTGAATATTTAGATGAGAGGGAGGAGGAGCAAATTAACGTGTTGCAGAACATCAGTTAATGGGTTATAATCACCCCTCTCGAACACATCTTTACACATCTGTGAGGGGGAGAACCACAGTCACAAAAAACTGCAGGCTAGAAATCAGCAGATGAAGCTCATCCAGACACTTAACTTAAATAATATAACCTTGGGTTACTGTTTAACCTCTCCAGACCTCAATAGTTTTATTTTCAAATTGAGGAAACTGAACCAGATGACTTCTTGTCCTATGATTCTGTCCCCTTCCCCCAAATCCTTCTACTTATTAGCTATGTGAATTCAATTTTTTATTCGGTGAAATAGAGAATAATATCAATGTAACTACCTCAAAGGATGATTATGAGGAAAAAAATGAGAAGTTATATTTGAAGTTTCTCTGAAATATATTAAATTTGCCAAAAATGTAGAGGAATATTATTTCTGTAATTTCTTTCTTCTATGTCTTCAATCCAGTTAGTATAGGATCTTGGTGATAGAAGGACAGAAGATCATGTAAGGGTTTGCAAAAAAGATATATCCTAAAGGTGATCAAATGTCTCACTTTGGCTAAAACAGCAGGAATCACTGAGCACTGACATCATTGGGTAGATATAACTGGACCAGTTATCTAAGAGGACTCAGTGTGTAGTTATAGGTAAACATGCTTTGTGAATCAGCATATTTAACATGTTGAAAATTCTTAGCAATTGGTAATTTGTCTACAACTTGCAGGAGAATGGTCCTGAGACTAGGTCATTTATATACACAAATTTTGAAGCTAAAGAACAGGAAGTAGCATCTCCCCCCGCCGCCCTCCCCCACCCCGACCCCGGTAGACAGGCCATGTCAGGGTGGAAAGCGCAGAGGGGAGAGAATAGAGTGAGGCAGGTTCCCTATTGACATCCTATTTCTTTCCTTCTGTCTCTACCCCTCCTACCCCCCTGTCAAAGCCAGTCAGCTGAACCTTGAAGCTGGTAAAAATGCAGAAGAAATGGCTCTTCTTAACTTTTTGTTTGTTTCCAGCCCACCTGACATAAACTGCTGGTCCATTTATGCATTTGCACAGAGGAAGGATGTTCATCTTTCGCTAACATCCTTCTATTTTCCCACAGTGCTTTGTTACTTTTGTAATGCTTTCTCCTCTTTAAAAAATTGCTTTTGCCCTCTGAGATGTGGCAAACCGGAAAGCAAAATCACACGAGACAACTCAACGTCACTGTTCTTGTCTATCAAGTGAGGGGGTTGAGCTATTGATCCTTCAGGTTTCTCCCCAGCCCTAAAAATCTCTTTGATGAGTCTGTGAAATAAACATCACCTAAACCTTAACGTTTAATAATGGGCCAGGAAATCTCACCATTAGAGCAAAAAAAGATGGAATACACGATTTTCATGCAGAGAAAGCTTTCCTTTAAAAATTGTATATTCTGAGAAACACTATTTACCATAAAAATAAAGTTGAGTCCCTGAAATGACCCACACGGAAAGGATATCAAACACAAAAAGGGAAAGAATAGAAATGCTCTCTTGCCATTTCCCAAGTGTATTGTTGTGAATGTACAATCAACCATAACAAAAGGTTTAGTATTTCAGCATTAATCATAGGAGAGATTTTGCATTTCCCCCTGTTGTTTCAACTACATAGCATAATGTAAATCAGCAAGAAGGGAGGGTGAGAATCCATACATTATTTCTGTTAATCTCCTTGTTGAAATAGCTCACTGTCTCCTTTAATGAGAAATCACTGCGTGGTGTTGGTGGGATTACCTCTCTCTTGTATTTTGTACTTTTAATGAATCCTACCGATTGTCAAAAATGATATTATAATGGTAATTTTATCTTTTTACATTGTGGGAGATTATAGAATCCTGGGCTAGTTGGTTTTAAAAGGATTCTTCATTAAATATCACCGTCACTTGGCATAGGAAATGACAACAATTTGGGGGAAAATGTAATTTTTTCAACTAAGGACAAAAGAGTATAAAGTGCTAATATTTCCATCATATAAGAGGGCTTTCGTTATTCAGATATGCAATTATAATATTAAAAAAATTTTTTACTCAGTAGAGTTGCCATGTAGCATTAAGACTGAGTTGTGCTGTGGGCACCTTCATACCAAATGAGTGCCACCACTTGGCCAGACTCTGGCATCCGGTGCAGATACATGAAATAGTCATGCTCCACAAAGCCTTTTAATACCCATTATGGGATAGCAAGCAACCATGGCCTTGAAAAAGATAAATGTTGGATAATTAAAGAAGTAACAGTTTGCTGTAACAGGCTTCTTGGCCATATTCAATGTCCTTTCATTCCAGACATGAGCCGTGAAAACAGGGCTCACTAAGGTAGCATCTCTTTAAGTAACTCCTATGTAATTTAGGGCTATCTGGAAACCACATTAAGTGCTTAGGTCATAAGGAGAACATTTAGTAAATTGAAGATATTTACTAAAAAATTTGTGAATTAATAAGAGCTATTTGAGTTAGTAAAGCATCATCTTAAGACTTAAAAGCAAATGAATATAGCTTCTCTAAGTGCCTCTCCTGTCATTGTCATTTCCTAAGTGGGACATAATCCAACGTGATGAGTAGAGAGAGGTAGAAACTTGCGATGATACAAGGAGAAGGGAAAGCCACGGGGTTATACTGAATTAGGTGACCATTAGACTCTGACTTTCTTGAGATTAGGAATTGTGTCATGTTTGTTTCTGTATTCCCCAGATCCTAGCTTAGTTTTAGACACATATTAATTCAGAAAATGTCCGTTAACCAATAGGTAAACCCTAGATAATGTATCCAGACAAATCCAAGGAGTAAAGTCATAGTCTTTCAAATCAAATACATGTGTCACAGTGATCTGGTGAATTTTAGGATACTGCTAAAATCAGATATAATCTGGAAAACTGGGGAAAGCAAAATACTCATTTTGGAGATTATGATTCATTATATATTTCAAGTCTCTCTTCTGGCAGTAAAGACAATTCCAAAGAGTGTGTGAGTTTTATCTCAAAAATCCTCATATATGCACAAATGAAGACAGGGCACCTCAGTTTGAACATAGCAGGCCAGCTCAGGGGCAGCCAGGGCTGACAGGCTTTGGGCAAAGCATCCGTGGCCTTGAAGAAGATGAGTTTTGGACAAATATGAGGAATCGCTGCTTTATGTAGAAATAAACATAGTTAACTCTTAGAGCTGTATAAATGTGTTGAAAATAGAAACTGCTTCAGGAAAGGTTTAGAAAAATTCACAACTGAGAGACTAGCAAGAGGTCCTTGTGTACCCTGGGTAAATTAGTGATCTTCGGAGACTGTCACGGTGAACAGGATGCTC